GAAAATTAGAGGGTATAATGTCACATTGGGTGTCTATTATATAGTAGCACAAATGTAGTTCTGAAATCTTTAATGTAAAATTTCTTTCTATTTTATTAAATAAAGTTTCAACTATGACATTTACAAAAAAAAAAAAAAAAAAAAAAAAAGAACCTAACTCCAACAGTAAGCACTTTGCTATCGTCCACCTCAACACCCTGCATGGCACTTGGTAAGTATCTTTATTATTATAAGACAAACGTTCTCTTTATTGCAGATAAAGCACTTACTATTTTTATTATTTTCGCTTTTTACTTAAATACAACTTTGACTATCGCTAACTACCTCATGTGTTAATCACGCCACCTTGACTTTTTAATTAAACTATGACACATTTTTCATACACATTTCTATTATTACTAATCATGCCAATTTCCTATAAACTCTATTATGACATTTTTCATACATAACAGATCTATCTATTACCACATTGTTCCCTTGAACCGATCCTGATCCTGGTCGATTGTCACGTGGGCACGTGATGATCGATCAATTCGACTCTTATTAAGCGCCAGATAAGTAACGATACAAATAAATTTTTTTTATTTATTTTTTTTTATTTTTGTTTTATTTTATTTTATTTTACTAATGCTATTGTTCTAAAGCTCCAAATCGACTCCTCATACCAAGTATACTGCATACTGGTTATCGCCATGACATTAGTAAACATTTTTTAAAAATTTCTCAAAAACTATCAAGCTGATTTTAATATTCTTACTATTATTATCATTGGCCACTGCTTACAGTATTCAGGGTCTTACTCAAGAACTTCATTTTAAGAATTGAATAGTACTGAATACTATTTATGAACTCAGTGATCTTATTAGTAAAGAAGAGGTAGGATACTATTTTAAGAGGATATTGTAGCAGTGGCCAATGGTAGATACACTTTGATGAGCTCTACAACTTTGTTAAATGCCTAAGAATGATTTACTTAATAAAAAAAGTTTTAGATAAAAGTGCTGTACTTTTAGGCTTATAATAAAATTTATATATAAAAAATTTTTTTCAGATATTTTACAGATTGTTTATTAAATTAATAAATATATTATAATTAGTAAATTACTATATAATAAAATTTATTTAATTAGTAATTGTCACAGATTAAACCGAAATTTGATCAAAATGAAATTTTTCTGTTTATTAAGAAAATTTGAAATTTTTAAAAAATATTTTTGGAGGTTCTTTTTAGCATTAGGGGTAGGATTTAGAGTTAGGTTTATTAATAAATGAGTATATATATGTTTTATAGGCTCTGAGGGTGGGTATAAGAGGTCCCTAGTTTCATTTTGATCAGATTTTATTTTAATCTGCAACAGTAATTATTAATTATTTTTTAAACTTTTTCCAGACAAATTAGTCTAAAAAATTTAATTGTATTTAGTATTTTTTAAATAAAACAAAAATTTATTAATAATATAGATATATATTCTTCATAGAATATATTTATAAAAGTATATTTTATAAACTTTATTATAAAAGTTTTTTAAAATTATTAATAAACTTTTGAGAATAAAACTTTAAAGTTTTTTAAAAAATTTCACTATTAAAAATTTTTAAGATTCTTTAAGATTTTATATATTTTTGAAGCTAAAAAATTTTTGCTCTTAATATAAGTTTAAATTTTTATAAGTATCATCTTTTATATAAACTAAAATATTATATTAAGAACTATATTTTCAAAATTAATATTTAAAGAGTTTGTTAAAAATAAGTAAATAATTTTTTTTATTAAAAAATTTTTTCTAAATTAGTTTATTTTATCTTATAAGCAACTAAGACTTTTTTTTATAATTCAAAATTAAATACTGCTACAATATAATTCTTATTTCAAATATTATCAAAAAATTTTATTTAAATATATTAAAATTTAAAAAAAGCAATCATAAGTATATTTATAGTAATTTTCTAAGCAAATTTATATAAAAGCCTTAAAGTTTAAAGAATAATATATTTGTTAATTTAAATTAAATATTACAAATTAATACTAATCAGTATTTTATATTAATAAATTAATTCAAATTAGATTTACTGATTTTAAACTGGTTTTATACTGAATATACCAAAAATCATTGTCGTGTAGTTTTTCAACTACCTATTGCTTCACTTTAATTTACGGGTCTTTTCACGCTTGGCTTTCTCTTATACCGGCGTATCGTTCAGGTACTAACCACCAAAGCGAAGATAATGCAGTATACAGTTTCTTAACTAAAGGTTGCTTTAGGAAACCTAACTTACGAATTAAAACTTGTCTGGTCGATTCCCTTAAAGGATCACGACCTTATATATTAATTACTATTGCGTCACTGATTACATTAATTAGACTCTTAAATTGATAACTACCGATTATGCAAAAACCCGATCACGCCATACATGATCACGTTACACCAACCGATTACCTGGGGTACCGAAATTCACCATGACAATCATCAAAAATAATATTATTTAATAATCTGTAATTAGTATTTATCAGTTTATAATCAGAATGTCTATTTGGATTTGTTTAAAAATTCATCTACAATCAGTAACTTTATTGTTTTACTAGTTTTTGACCTGTGTGTGTTGATAAATTTATATTGCTTTGAATATTTTTATATAATTGTAAAATCCTTTATTATGACATTAATACAAAAACATTATAGCAATTTTATTTTATCTTTAATAAAATATAAATGACTTTAAGATTTGAAGCAAAAATCACAAATTTAAATGTTCTTATAAAATCAAACAAAATTTGACATTAATTAAAAATGTAAATAAATTAGTGTGTTGGATAGCACCTGAAAAGATGTCTAAACATTGATATTTAAATGTGAAATTTTCAGGTTAGTATCTAATGTATTTCATATATTATTATTTATTTTGTAAAAACACTAGTTTTGAAATGCTGATTTGGGAATTGATATTTACAAAATTTCCATATGAAAAATTTCCGGTAAGAATTAAATGATGGAACATGTTAATAATGACAACGGTGAAAAGATCAATTTTGGATCAACTACTCTAGAGAATCAAAGGCTTCAACAAGGTTTAAAAAAGGGAACACCTATTTCCACCATTGAAATTTGCTATTTCCACCACACTTTTTATATGACTTTCAGTTACATAAACATGACAAACATATTGTCATGAAAAGTTACGTAAAATGGTGGAAATAGTAAATTTTCATGGTGGAAATAGGCGTTCCCTTAAAAAATTATAAAGAATTTTCTATTTTAATGATATACTATATATTAATAAGATAACGTGCAGAAATTAATCATAATCATATGAGTTTTCCGGATAACGATAATTAAACAAATAAATTAGTCGGTTAAAATAATGAAGGATAATTTCCAATAGTGTTAAGATCATAGGAAATTATATCTTAACATGGTGTGTAGATTGTACAGCGGTGTAATAATAATAAGTTGCTTACACACGAATCGAGCGGATTACACTTAATCCTGATTTTGAACAATATACAATATTTCCATAAAATAATACCTATGGGTGCCATTCCAGGACACAAGTTTGATGCAAGTTTAATAATTAATTTAGCTAAATGCAAATCATAATTTTTTGTTATTAAAAATCTTCGGCTAAATTAATTATTGGCTCGCTTCAAGCTTACGTCTCAAAATAACACTATTTTGCGCAAATAGTGCATAGATTGTAGATTAACGGATCACACGATTGCTATCATTAATAAATTTCCCGTTTTCATTATATGTTAGACAAACTTGGGGGTTCGTAATTGACAAGATAAAAAGAATTTTAACTAAACGTATATTATAGTTGGTTTAAAATGCATATAATCAAGATAATATATGGCTAGGTGCTGAGAAAAGGGGCGAATTTGACAATTTTTTCTAAGAATATTTTTTACATAAATCAATTTATAATAAGATTAGAATCATTTTTCACTTAAGATACAAAAGTAGTTGAATTAATAAAATTTTGTGGTATAGCTCTTTAAAGTTTGCATTTTCTTATGATTTATTATATGATTCTTCAATATTCATTGATTCGTCAACATTGGTTGGCTTTTCAACTTTTGTTGGGTTTTCAATATTGGTTGATTCTCCTACATTGGTTGATTCTCCTACATTGGTTGATTCTCCTACATTGATTGATTTTTCAACATTGGTTGACTTTTCAACATTGGTTGAATTTTCAACATTGGTTGGCTTTTCAACTTTTGTTGGTTTTTCAATATTGGTTGATTCTTCAACATTCATTGATTCTCCTACATTGGTTGATTCTCCTACATTGGTTGATTTTTCAACATTGGTTGGCTTTTCAACATTGGTTGGCTTTTCAACTTTTGTTGGTTTTCAATATTGGTTGATTCTTCAACATTCATTGATTCTTCTACATTGGTTGATTTTCCTACATTGGTTGATTTTTCAACATTGGTTGGCTTTTCAACATTGGTTGGCTTTTCAACTTTGGTTGGCTTTTCAACATTGGTTGGCTTTTCAACTTTTGTTGGTTTTTCAATATTGGTTGATTCTTCAACATTCATTGATTCTCCTACATTTGTTGATTCTTCTACATTGGTTGATTTTTCAACATTGGTTGATTCTTCTACATTGGCTGATTTTTCTACATGGGTTGATTCTTCAACATTCATTGATTCTTCTACTTTGGTTGATTCTTCTACATTTGTTGATCCTTCAGCATTGGTTGATTTTTCAACATTGGTTGATCCAACATTCATTGATTCTTCAACATTGGTTGGTTTTTCAACATTGGTTGGTTCTCCAACATTTGTTGATTCTTCAGCATTGGTTGATTCTTCAGCATTGGTTGATTCTTCAGCATTGGTTGATTCTTCAGCATTGGTTGATTCTTTAGCATTGGCTGATTCTTCAACAATGGTTGATTCTCCAACGTTGGTTGATTTTCCAACATTTGTTGATTCTTCGATATTCATTGATTCTTCAACATTGGTTGATTCTTCGACATTTGTTGATTTTTCAACATTTGTTGATTCTTCAATATTGGTTGGTTTCTCAACATTGGTCGGTTCTCCAACATTGGTTGATTCTTTAGCATTGGTTGATTCTTTAGCATTGGTTGATTCTTCAAAATTGGTTGATTTTCCGACGTTGGTTGATTTTTCAACATTTGTTGATTCTTCGATATTCATTGATTCATCAACATTGGTCGATTCTTCAACATTCATTGATTCTCCGACATTTGTTGATTCTTCAACATTTGTTGATTCTCCGGCATTTGTTGATTCTCCAACATTTGTTGATTCTCCAACATTTGTTGATTCTCCAACGTTTGTTGATTCTCCAACATTTGTTGATTCTCCAACATTTGTTGATTCTTCAACATTTGTTGATTCATTTGCTGGTTGTTCGATTACAAGTGTTTCACTAATCACTATAGTTTTCGAATCATCACTATAAGTTGGTCCAATAATTGCAATAGTTTTTGAATCATCAATTTCCATTTCACTAGTTACAGAATCCCTCTTTGATTCTCTATAAATTTTTTCTAAAAATTCAGCAGCTCTAGATTGATTTTTTAAGGCTGCTAATTTAATATATAATTCAGCCTTTGCTTTATTAATAGGAACCTTAAGTTTTCCATTCCAATAGATGTCACCTAGATTATAAAGTGCAGTAGAATTTCCACGATCAGCAGCCATCTTCATATATTTCAATATTTCAGTAACATTCAAATTACGTTTATCTTCTATAAGAGCAAATGCGTAACGAAGTTGAGCATCTGCAACACCACTATCAGCAGCTTCTTTAAAGAGTTTACGAGCAGCATTGAGATCTTTTTCAGTGCAGTACCCAGACGTTAAATAATATCCTTTCCAATACTTTGCAATATTATTTCCAAGGTTTGCATGATCAGAAAAACATTTCCAAGCTTCCTTATAATTTTTCTTTTTATGAGCTCTTAAACCATCTTCAAGAGGAATTAAAGTTTGTATTGAAGAATCAGAATTAAATATATCAAATTCATTAGATACATCAAATAAACTTCCATTAAAACTTTGTGGAATAAGGTGAGAACTACTTCGATTTCGATTTCGAAGAAATTCCAAATTTAACATGATATTATCTTGCGAAACATATTTATTGTATAGTTCACCCAACTTCAATTGTAACTCTAAATCCAAGGGACGAGATGAAGGATCTTCTTCCCAAGCTTAACAACCAAAAAAAAATAAATATGATATTTAGGCATTTAATTAATTACAATTTAATGTAATAAATGAAAAAAATTAATTACCTGATTTAATGATTCTAGCGAGTTCTCTTGGAATTGGAGATGAGTGAAAAGCAATTTCAAGAGTTTCACGTTTTTTATTTTTAATGTGATCTAGGATTTGGGTCAGATCCATTCCTTCATAAGGCATTTTTTGATAACAAAGTTCCCAGAGTAGCATACCAAAGCTATAATAAGAAATATTAAATATATATATATCGAACAAACTTTAAAAAGAATTTTATTAACTGTTATTATCAAGTATTACCTAAACATTTCAGATTGTTTATTATACCGAGGGATAGGATTTTTCATTCTTTCTGGAGCTAACCATCGAAACGTTTCATCCATATTAACGTAGACAAAACCTTTTTCTCTATATCCACGATAAATTGAAATTTTTGGTTCAAGCTTATTTGTAATCTATTATTAATAAAAATTATAAAACATTATAATTACTCATTTGATGATAATTATTTTGGTGAATATTAATAATTGCATACCAAAATATTTTTGCAACGAATATTATGATGATGCATTCCACATTGATGCATAAATACAAGACCATTAAATATTTCATAAGCGAGTTTTAATTTCATATTCCAATCAATCTTATAACGTGTATATAATTCCTCTAAATTTCCATGTTCAGCCCATTCAAGAATCATAGCATTATCAACGGAAAGTCCATAAAAAGTGATAATAAATGGACTTGATCCTAATAAATGAAGGATTTCAAATTTAAATGGTTTTTCGGTTTTATCAAAAGTTCTTTCACATGCAACTTCTTTTCCACGAAAGATTTTTTTCGTGATTGAACCACGTCTATTATCTTTAGAAGGAGGTAGATCATTTAGTTCCTCTGAATTTATTCGAGGTATTTTGCACAGTCTTCTCGGAACATTTGAAGCTATAATCTCAGGCGTAGCATTTTTTAAAGAATGTTTTGCAGCATTCAATACAGCAATCTCTGTAGTTAATGTTTTAATTTCGGGTTGCATTCCATCCAATGACTATTTATTAATTAAATTAGATATTTTTGTTAATATTATGTTTAATGTTATGGGAAGTTAAAATTGTTAATAAGAAACAATCAAATTTACCTTTCTCAAAATTAAAATATCATAAGCTACATCTTGTGCCTCTTTTTCTCTTTGTTCAGCACTGTACACAGCTGCAATTAAATTTAAATCATAGCAAGAATCTTCGAATTCTACAATATTTGCATAAAAAGTATCTATAACCATATTGATATTTAAAAACTTTCGGAACCATGATAACTGTGTAATTTCTTCAGCAAATATCATGATATTCTTTAAAACATTCATAAATTTAATCCAAGTAAGATAATAATCTTGTCGTCGAAAATTTTTAGAATTAGCTTGACGTTTTCTTTGCAAATTTTTTATACAAGTTTGTGCTATTTCAGCTCGAAATAATAATGCGCAACAAATTTTTTTACTACATTCAGCAGATTCATATATTGTCAGCATTTTTTCAATTACTTCTGTGACCGTTTTAAATAAAGAATTGAATGGTTGAATATTGTCATCCACAGATTGGTGTGATATAACTCTATTATCAATTCGTTCTGCTAAATTAAGATCTATTTGCATTTCTTGTAAATGATTATTTTCCATTCTGGGTTCTAACCAAATTTCTGATGAATGCTCATTTATAATTATATTATTTCCTCTGTGCGTATGAAATTCTCTGTCAAATATTAAGTTATATGATTTAACTTGTTCCTTAGTTTTAGAATATCTTTCTGTAATGGATTTTTTACTCTCTCTATCATCTATTTTTCTTTGAAACAAGAAGATAAAAATGAGATTCAATTATAATTCAAATTGAAAATAAAATCTATAATTAAAATTTCTACTTACTCTCTAGTAAAATTTACAAGTATTTAGCTTTTGAAAATTTATCAAAATATATAAAATATAACCGTTTTTTATACTTACGCCCTTGGAAAATAATGATTAATAAATTATAAATGACACTAATAATTTATAATTATTTGATGTATTTTGGTATTAGTTTCATACTTACTCATTGACAGAAACAGGTACATGACTCGACATTAATCTTTTAAGCAAATTTGCAACTACAATAATATCCGGACGTCTTGATCTATTACTTTGCCAACAATCTATCAAAAAGATGATGTATTTTATTTATTAAACTTTGAAAGTTTAGTATAAAAATTTAATTACACTACACACCAGTATAAATTTGAATGTATTGTTCTGGAGTTCCTGGAACATGTTCTTCTCTAATTTCATGCGCAAAGTCGAATAAGAATAATGCAGCATCGCGATTTCTGAATGGAGGATGTCCACTTGACAATTCCCATAAAAGTACCCCAATACAATAAATATCGACTTTTTTATCGGGAATATCATGAGATACCATCTCTTTGTACGCCATAAGACTTGTAGGTTGAAAATATGGGTTTATACTTATATCAATTAAATTCTTTGAAGGTCCAAAATCGCTGATTTTAATATTATCTTGATGAACTAAAGTATTAAATGAATTCTTTGTAGATGTGAATTGATTAATGTAAGTTATAGAATGTAATGATGCATGAATTTTTTAAAGAAACAATATAAAATATATAAATGATTACAAGGTTCCCATGCACAATATTGTGACTATGAAGGCATTTGATGGCAGAAGCAATTTGATAAGCAAGCTTGAATCTATCATTCCATGTCAAGATCTTTGTATGTAAATATTCGCATAAAGTTCCATTATCAGCAAACTCAAACATCAGCATATGATTTGACGGCATGACTAATAAAATTGAAAGTAAACAAAAGGTCTTAGGAAGCAAGATGAAATTAATTTTAATATGACTTACTTTCTGTAATGCCATAAAATCTGATAATATTAGGATGATGATTCACTTTGAATTGTAATTCAATCTTTAAAAAAAAAGTGATTAAATAGTTAATAAAATATCTGCAACTTTCTTTATTATGACATTTATATTCACCTCTTTTAAAAGTTCTTTTTCATTTTTATTATCCACTTGTTTCAAAACAACGACCATTTCATCACTTTCTGAAATAGCTCGATATAATTTCTTATATGCTCCAGTACCGACTCTTTCGGGATTTGAAAACTTTGTACGGTCATATTGTTCAATTTGCAAAAAGGTTTCATTAACCTGCTTAACACTTGGCTCTGTTTCCATTTATTCGTTTATTCGTGCGTAAAAAAAATTTTCTTATATATTAGAAATTATAAATTTTGAAAGTTGATTTGTGATCATTCCGATTTATTATTATTGGAAAACCGGAAATACGAACATCTAGACTTTTTTGGAAACAGTAGCAATCCATGTGTACTGAAGAATTATAACTATGTGCGTAGGTACGTACGTACGTACGTACGTACGTACGACCGTGTATACGTACGTACGTACGTACCTACGTACCTACGTAATACTTTATACGTAAGTTCGTACGTACGTACTATCAAAATTGAATACGTACGCAAGTACGTTGGCCTTGACCCCAAGATGACCAGAATTACAATTATTATTCTATTAAGCTACTCATTCTTTGACATTTATGCAATTTCTCATATAAATCTTAACGGTACATAATACTATAAACAGTAAATTATTGTTTTAAATAAAATTGTTTAAAAAATCAAAAAAAATCAATAAATTCATATATTAGATTTTAAACGAATTAAAAAATCTTTAATTGTTATTATAAAGATTAAAAAATAATAGACAGACAAAGCTGACATAATAAATTTTTTATTTAGATTGTTAAATTACTATTTTTATTTGTAAAGTATTACATATTATTATTTTAATTTCTTTATAGCAAGTTTCTGTTCAAATTTTTATGATTAATATTAATATAAGTTATTTAATAATTTTTATATTTGTTGTGTCTTAGATAGATTTTTGCCCCAGGTGATAACTGAGGTATTGATTGGTCGGCATTAATTGATCGGCATTAATTGGCCTAAACTATAGCCTAATCCTTAACTCTAACTCTAATTTAGGCCGATCGATACCTGAGGCAAGAATTGGTACGTACGTACGTATCGCCACCTCATAGGAGGACTTTCGTATGATTTGCTGTTTAAATCAATTTAATTTTACATTATTTATACAGTTTAAAGTACTTTTTAAAAAAATAAAACTACGAATAATATACAAAAAAGAAGTATATAGTAAGTTTTAATAGGGTTGTAGGATTCCACTATTAAAAATAATCCAAATCCCTTTTTGTTTTAGAGAAGTTAGCATGGTATTAACCTAATTCTACCTATCTTTAAAAAGTCGCTATTATGCTAACTTCTCTAAAACAAAAAA